AAGTCAAAGTAATGAAGCAGCACATGTCGAAAAAACAACTTATCACGTTCCATATTTAATCAAAAGAAAAAATAGCACTGCTCGCTTAAATGAATCTCTTCGCACTGAATTTTATTGACAAATGTCTAACCTCTAAAATGCAGCCAGTTTCAGATGTCAAAATAAATTACACCTACAACTAACGTCATCTAACTGTGAGCCGCAGGAACTAAGTTTACCACCTAATAGCATTGTGAGTGAAGCAACTTTTGTTATCGTAAAAAAATGGATAAAAAAGAATTTCGTGTGTTAATGAAGCATTACTTTATCATGAAAAAAATACTATTGAAACCAAAACTTGGCTTGATAAACATTATTCGGACTTTGCACCAGGAAAATCAACCGTTGAAAAGTGGTTTGCTAAATTTAAACGGGGCGAAATGAGCACCGAAGACGACACACGCAGTGGACGCCCGAAAGAGGCTGTAACGGACGAAAACATAAAAAAAGTTCACAAAATAATTATGAATGACCGTAAATTGAAATTGATCGAGATAGCTGAGACTCTGAAGATATCAAAAGAGCGTGTTGGACATATCGTGCATGAATATTTGGACATGCGAAAGCTGTGTGCAAAGTGGGTGCCGCGCGAGCTCACAATCGAGCAAAAGTTGCAACGTGTCGTTGACTCGGAGCAATGTTTAGCGATATTCAACCGTAATAATAACGAATTTTTCCGTCGATATGTGACAATGGGTGAAACATGGCTTCATCACTACACTCCAGAGTCCAATCGACAGTCAGCCGAGTGGACTGCACGCGATGAACCGAATCCAAAGCGTGGAAAGACGCAACAGTCGGCTGGCAAGGTTATGGCATCAGTATTCTGGGATGCGCAAGGTATAATATTTATTGATTACCTTGAAAAGGGCCAGACCATCAACAGCGATTATTGCATAACGTTGTTGGAGCGTTTGAAGGATAAAATCACGAAAAAACGGCCCCATTTAAAGAAGAAAAAAGTGCTGTTTCATCAAGACAATGCACCGTGTCACAAGTCAATGAAAACGATGGCAAAATTGCATGAATTAGGCTACGAGTTGCTTCCCCATCTACCGTATTCTCCAGATTTGGCCCCCAGTGACTTTTTCCTGTTTGCAGACCTCAAAAGAATGCTCACTGGAAAGAAATTCAGCACTAATGAAGAAATAATCGCTGAGAGTGAGGCCTATTTTGAGGCTAAAGAGAAATCGTACTATAAAAATGATATTGAAAAATTGCATGACCGCTATAATCGTTGTATCGCCCTCGAAGGCAACTATGTTGAATAATAAAATCGAATTTTACCAAAAAAATGTGTTTTACGATGTTAGCCTACGAACTTTTCAGCCCAACTGTTAATTAAGGGGATTTAAGTTAATTGGACGTTACATTGGAATAATATTACAAAGAAATATTTTAAGAGGAGTTTCTGCCTTAGATGACCGAGAAAAATAGGAACTTTTTACAAATTCTCTTTTCCAAAGAAATCAATAAAGATATAGGTTCAATATAGGTATTAATATAGGTTTTTGACCATATATTATTTATCACTGTTTTAAGTATAAAAGGAAATGTCTTGAAAATATTGAAATTCTGTCCAAATTCTTTGTGAATTTAAATCCTTTGGAAAATGTCTGAAATTATTATTTTTCCCGAGACGCTAAATAGAGAGAAAGAGAGAAAGAGAGAGAGAAAGGAAAAATGACCATTATTCGAAGCATCGTCATTTTGTTAAATTTCAACTTTCTGCATATAACGAAAGTCCATTCTCCAACAAATTTAATATCGTTTTTAAGTGTTCTATGGCCCCATTTGTTCCAAATTATTACACGAGTCTTAATGTGCCCATCAGATAGAAGCGTCCGACATCAAAAACCTGAGTAAAATTTTTACTTTTTTTTAAGAAACTTTTTATTACATTTGAGATGATGATAAATAGTTTGGTCCAAACTCTATATATATATATACCAATTTTTGTGAATCTTTTCC